GCGAGCACACGAGCGGGGGCCGGGAGCGCTGGACGCGTTTCAGCGATGGCTTCTGCGGTCAACAGCAAAATTCATGCACCCGGGACTGGCGCGGGCTCCAAAGCTGATGCCCACGGGGGCGCCTGCTGGAGAATGGACTGCGACCCCGAGATGCACGTGAAAATGTGCAAGAAGATAGCGCAGCTCACCAAGGTAAGGTGAAGCCTGCCAGCAGGCTGGGTGGCCGCTCTAGGGGGTTCCCCTGGTCCGGAGGGAGTGCGGGCGCCGCCCAGGGGAGGACCAGGCCTAAGCCAGGTGGAAACTTTGTCTCGGAGGCCACCCTGGAAGGGAAGCGGTCCTAAATCTTGGTGACTTGACCTTCTGGAGGCACCAACCTAAAGCAGCTGCCAGAGAGGTTCCTTGACAAGGAAACTCCCACAGCCTGTGCGCTGAGCAGGTGGTCTGCTCCCAAGGTGGGGATGCGGATCCAGTTGAGTCAGTGCTGGTGTGTGTGTGTGTGTGTGTGTGTGTGTGTGTGTGTGTGTTCCCTTTGCCCGCTCTGCTCAAGTGATCGTGCCTGGAATGTTGTGATTTTATTCATCGCTGTACTTTACAGTCGGGGAGGTCATGTGCGCTCTATTTAAACACTTGATTCATTTTTTTTTTCTTACAACAAATATTTGAGTCGTTTGTTGAGTGCCAGTAGCTTGCGTGGCACCGTAACTAAAGCTGGAAGGCAGCCCAGGGGACTTACTATCAAACTGGGTGCGGACGTGTGTGGGAGCATAAATAAGTAAGTGCAGGATTCACCATTTAATTGTGGGATTACAAAGGACCTTGGGAGGTCAGCCAACCCATCTCCTCTCCTCAGCCCAGGGCCCTGGTTGACCTCCACGGACTGTGGTGCCTTGAAGACCAGCAAGGAGATACCACTCTGCCCTTTAGTAACCCCTGGGGCTCCTTGTGGTGGGTCCCCCTGCTGTGCCTTGTGGGTAGATGAGCAACATCCCTCTCTGCCTTCTACCCAAGGCCCCCACAGCCTGGATTGAGTTGTTTCCCTGGGGTTTCCTCTTGATCGCATAACAAACGCCAGGTCCAGGGTCTGCCCTCTTCCCTGTTTCCCTCCCACTTCCCACACCCACTTTTTTGTAGGATTGCAGGCATTTTCCTTCTCGTATTGCCAGGAGGGGGAGAGACCAGGAATTGGACAGTAGCTGCCTTCTCTCCCCAACCCCTCCCCCCCCTCCCTTGTTAACTTCTCCACGCTCTTACACATGTGCCTGTCTCTAAATAGTGATCTCTTTAGTCAAGGATGGAAAAGGGGGGTGGAGATAGTCCTTGGAGGCCATGGCAGGCGCTGCTGGCACCACTGACCTAATCTACATTCATCAAGAAGTGATATCAACGCCCAAAAGTATTAATATTCTGTCTTAAAAATATATTCTTATTGATTTCAGAGAGGAAGGGAGAGGGAGAGGGATAGAAACAATGATAGAGAATCATTGATCGGCTGCCTCCTGCATGCCCCACACTGGGGACCGAGCCTGCAACCCGGGCATGTGCCCTTGACCGGAATCAAACCCGGGACCCTTCAGTCCACAGGCCAATGCTCTATCCACTGAGCCAAACCAGCTAGGGCAGTATTGATATTCTTGATTCCAGGTACTGTAAACAGTATAAGGCTCCCTGGCCATCATGGCTTGGTTGGTTGGGCATCTTCCTGTGCCCTGAAAGGATACCGGTTCCTTTCCCAGTCAGGGGCACATGCGGGCTGGATCCCCACTGAGGCGTGTGCTGGAGGCGGCAGATCCATGTTCCACTCTGGCAACGATGTTTCCATCTCTCTCTCTCCCCCTCTCCCTTCTCTGAAATCAATACAAATGTATTTTTAAAAAATAAATAAATAATCTTAAAAAACAAAAACAACAGTGTAAGTCATCCTCTCTAAAATATTTTTGGAGAAACAAGGTTGGATCAAAAACTAAAAGACACGGGAGAGGGGTCCATCAGGGGGAAAAGGAGACATATGTAAAGCTTTAGGCAATAAAAAAACTAAAAGACACTACTGTATAATCAGTTGCTAAATTGGGTGTTTCAAATGATCAGTTCTATAGAAGTAGAAACAAAGTCATTATGGGTAAGAGCAGTTCAGAGAGGTTTTGTGGGAGAGGCAAACCTTGAATTTAGTGCGAATTTAGGGAATGCGTACTATGTGCTGAGTACTGATGGCATAAAACTGAGTAAGACAGGGCCCCTACCCCTGTGGTATGACAAACACAGAAACAGAGCATTTGAATAGAATGCTCACTCATTAATATGTATGGCACACCTACTATGTGCCAAGCACTGAAGATATGGCAGTGAAGAAAGCAGGCATGGTCCCTAGCACGTAGGAGGCAGCATGTCTCAAAGTATGTTCTGCGTTGGAAACCACAGTTGATTCTTACTCTGTTGTGCCTCTTTTTACCATTTTCATGCTAATTGTTTAGATTAGACATTTTTGGTATTGTTATTGAAACACCACCTTTCTTTTGGTTACTGATTACTTATCTCGTATTTGTCATCTCTTCATATTTAAACTTTCTATAAGTTTTATTTTACTTGTATCTCTGATAGGTGAAAAAGGTTGAAAATCGCTGGTATATAGTATAGCCCTTAAAATAAAAACCTCCTTAATTTATTCATGATACTTTGCACGTGGTAAACAGCTAATACATGTTTACCACATGCAAGTAAATAAATACCAGGACACATTTTAAATCCACCTGGAGAGCTTTTGAAAGCACACGAGTGAGACGGCAACCACACTTAATGCCTGATCCTAGACTGGATTCTGTGCTAGATGGAAAAATGCTACCGGGGCAACTGAGAAATTGGAATATGATGAAAGAGAGAAAGTACAAGTGTTTGTGTCAATGTTAAACTTCCCCCCATTGACAACTACACTGTGGCTATGTAAGATAAAGTCTTTTTTTTTTTTTTAATCCTCACCCAAGGATATTTTTCCATTGATTTTTAGAGAGAGTGGAAGGGAGAGGGAAAGACAGAGAGAAATTTCAATGTGAGAGAAACACGATTGGTTGCCTCCTTCACTTGTCCTGACCAGGGCCCAGACCTTGGAGGAGCCTGCAACTGAGGTGCCCTTGACTGGAATCGAACCCGGGACCCTTTAGTCTGCAGGCCAATGCTCTATCCAGTGAGTCAAACTGGGTAGGGCAGAAAATGTCTTTATTGTGAAGAAATGCACGTTGAAAATGTCTTTTAAGGAGGTGCATATGATGTCTTACTCTCAAGCATTTTATAAACAAAATAGAGAAAATAAAATATAGAAGGAGAACAAATGATAAAACAAATGGAACCATATGTTTAAAAAAAATGAATCTGGGTGAAGGGTATGTGGATTTTCATTGTACTATTTTTTTTCTGGCATCCTCCCCTCACCTGACCGCCCCCCCCCATGTTTTAAAATATTTCAAAAAAAAAACAAAAGCATGTAAGGCCCAGGCCCCATCTCAGAGGGAGAGGGGAGAGTGGTGGCAGGCATTCCTGTTTTTCCAAAGCCCCTAAAGAGCTCTTAACGTTAACGCAGCGTAAGAACCACAGTTTCAGAACAACTGAAGCTTTAAGCTGTAAAGTGGGCACAGAGGAGTCATTTAGGACAACAGGAGGTTCCCGATCCATCCCCACCCGCTAGCCACTTAGGAGCTGTCTAAGCTCTGAGGTCGCCTGACCTGCCACTGCTGATGTTCAGGTCACCCTGATTTCACTTAATGCTGACCCCAGAGCCATTCCCACAACTTTTATTACAGTCGGTGATTACAGTTGTCCTACTTCATTATGTTACTGTTGTTGATCTCTTACTGTGCCTAATTTATAAGTTAAACTTCATCACAGGCATGCATGCGTAGGAAGAAACATAGTATGTATAGGGTTTGGTATTGTCGCAGTCTCAGGCATTCACAGGAGGTCTTGGAACATAACCCCCATGGATAAGGGGGGCTCCTGTATCCGTAGATACTTTTGTTTTCAGGGGGAGATCTGGAGGTCAAAGCCGTTGTTTCCAGCACAACCAGATCAAGGGAGCTGTGTCTGCCATGTCCCAGAACCTCACCAAAGTCAACTAAGACGCATAATAAGCAGAAACAATGGTATTAGAGGGGGTGGGGGGTGGGAAGGGTTGGGTAAGGAGGTGGTAGAGAAGGGGTAAGGATATTGTTATGGAGAACAGGCACTGAGTATAAAATTAGAAATAGTAAGGAAAAAGATCTGTACTCTCTACTCAAAGTTACCTTTTTTTTTTTTTTTTTTTAAATCCTCACCCGGCACATGCTTAGAGAGGAAGGGAGAGAGGGAGAAAGAGAGAAACATCGGTGTGAGAGAGAAGCATCCATCTCTTGCCTTTCGTACCTGCCCCAACTGGGGATCAAAACCACAACCTAGGTATGTGCCCTGACCTGGAGTCGAACTGGCACAGGATGACGCTCAACCACTGAGCCACTCTGGCTGGGCATTTATCTCTTAAATGAATTTAAACTTGACGTATTTCTAGAGGGATACTTCTTACTCTTATTTGTTCTAAACATATAGATTTAAAATTAACTGTGGCCCTAGCTGGTTTGGCTCAGTGGATAGAGCGTGGGCCTGCAAACTGAAGGGTCCCAGGTTTGATTCCGGTCAAGGGCACATTACTGGGTTGCAGGCTCGACCACCAGTGTGGGGCGTGCAGGAGGCAGCCGATCAATGATTCTCTCTCATCATTGATGTTTCTATCTCTCTCTCCCTCTCCTTTCCTCTCTGAAATCAATAAAGATACATTTTTTAAAAATTACCTGTGAATAAGAGTGAAGATGCCTGGAAAGCTAATGGACAATTTGGGGTTGACCTTGAAATGCTCTTCCTCCTGGTCCTCACATGCCGGTATCCGCTAAGATGCCATCTCTTCAGAGAGGCCTTTATGACCTTCCAGTCCAAAGGGACCAACTTTGCTCGCCTTGTAATTGGGAACAATTATTCTTTCTTCCTTGGTGACTTGCTGTGAGGCTTCGCCGACTTCAGGAGTGTAAGTGGGGCACTTCACCCAGGGCCGGCACATGGTGAGCGTGGCGGATGTTGGTGTGTGTGCCTTTGCTCCCTGACCTGGAAGAACTTACGAGGGACAGAAAGCTGCCCAGTTGTCAAAACCAGCAGCCTAGAGCGAGGCCAGCCCTCCCCGCCGCCGCTGGAGTCCTCAGCAGCCGGTGCCATTTGCGCCCGTGGTTTCCTGGCTTGGAGGTGTGGAGGTTTTATTGCACCCAGACACCCTGAGCTGCTTGCAGGAGCTTGTCTGGGGAGATGGGGAAGCTGTTCTGTACCAGTTTGCCTTAGGATTCTAGATTTGGAAACTGCAGATCTGTTTTAACAAGTCCTCTCCGTTGGAATCTTTTAATTTAACAATGTGATTCATGATGCAAAGATGGCTATCTCGCAAAAATATTTTTGCCATAAACAGCATGAAGAACACCTTAAGTTGGGTATCTCTGAACCCTACTGAAATGCCACCACTTTTGCGTAGCCATTCCGGTCTCTGCATTCCCCCCACTCCCACACGGCCTTCCTCCAGTCCGTTCTCCACACAGCAGCCAGTGTGATCTTAACACTGACTCCAGCTGGCTGGCGTGGCTCAGTTGGTGGGAGCGTCATCCCATGCACCCGGAGGTCGCCAGGTTCAATTCCTGGTCAAGGCACATGCCCGGGTTGTGGGCTCCATCCCAGAAGGAGGCGTGCAGGAGGCAGCTGATGAGTATTTCTCATCGAACTTTCTATCTCTCCCTCTCCCTTCTTCTCTCTGAAATCAATAAAACCTTAAAACAACAACAACAACAAAACTGACTCCAACCTTCAGACACTGCCGGTGGGAATGTGCCATGTTGCATAGCTGCTTTAGAAAACAGTGCGGCCGTTCCTCAAGCAGTAAAACAGAGAGTTGTCATAGAAACCAACAACTCCATGCCTAGGTACACACCCAAGAGGAATTAAAACATACACCTGCACAAAAACTGCTACACAGTTTCCACAGCAACATTATCCGTAATAGCCCCCAAAATGGAAATAAACTAAATGTCTATCCGTTGAATGGGTACATAACTGTGGTAGAAAGTACGGTGGGGAGAGTGGTTAGGGGATGCAGGGGTTTTGGGGGGTAATGAGAAGATTCTAAAGTCAGTTGCAGTGATGGCTATACAACTCTGAGTAAACTGAAACCCGTTGACTTGTACACAGTAAATGGGCAAACTGTATGGTACAGATATAAAAATTATGTAGATAAAATTAAAATGAAATAAACAAGCTGAGTCTTGTCTTTCTCCTGTTTAAATCCAGCTCTGAAACAAGTCAGGTGGTTTACTACACCAGCCCACCTTCCCTCTCCCATTTGTACAGCCATCCTAGTCCAGGCCCCCTTGGCCCCTGCCGTGGCCTGGCAGCCTCGTGGTCCACCCTTGCCCTCTCGCACAGGGACAAGAACGATCTTTTACACTATAAATCAGAGCATCTCGTTTTCCTGTTTAAAACGACCATGGCCCCCATGTCGCCTGGACTGCCGTTGTCCACCTGGAATGAATCCTCTGTCATGGTCCCTCGAGGTGGCTGCTATCCGCTTCTTGGCATCATCTTCCTTCAGGTCTGCGTGTGGCTGGCTCGTGCTGCTTGGACCTCGTCCTCCTGGTTTCTTCTGCCGGATCCTGGCTCTGCCGACTGGGCCTGGCTCACGTCTCTTCAGACAGGGCCCCTGCCCTCTGAGGGTCCCTCGGTGCCCCTGCTGTTCCCTTTGCCCCGCTATCTGGTTATTGCTTTCTCCTCCCCCGAGAGGAAGTTCCATGAGGGGAGGGGTTTCTGTCTGCTTTGTTCTCTCCTGAACCTCCAGTGCCTAACACAGGGCCTGGTTAGAGGCTGCTACCCAGGTCACTGAGAGGCCAATGAACAAAACGCTTCTGGGACCTCCTGTTCTCCTCGGATAAAACGCCAAACTTTAACCGTGGCTGCACACGGTCATCTTGTGGGAGAGTGGGGAGCCCCTTTCTCAGGCCAGGGCTCAGGAGTTCCTGGTTTTCTGAGCGCACTGGCAAAGGACCCGTGTGACAAGCGGGTGGCTTCCCCCATCCCCTCCCAGGCCAACATCGGACTTGGTCACCCAGCCCCTGACCACACGCAGGGCTTGACCAAACTGGTGCTTCCATTCGGTCAGATGCAAATTCCTCCAGGACACTAGCGTTATAAGGAAAAATAAAAACAACAGTGACCAGTTATACACAGAAAATACCTATCTAAGAAAAATCAAATATACGGGTAAGGGAAAAGGAAGAGATTCTAAAGCACCCTCCAACCTATTATAACTATAGTTCTATAACTAATAACAATTTGATATATTCTACTATCCTGTTTCCTATACATATATAGATGTAGAGCTTTCTTAAATAGGCTTGTATTATGCAATGTTATTGTGTGACCTGTTTTTTTTTCTCTCTTCACAATGAATCTTGAACTCTCTGACCTAGTTTTTTTTTTTAAATATATTTTATTGATTTTTTTACAGAGAGGAAAGGAGAGGGATAGAGAGTTAGAAACATCGATGAGAGAGAAGCATCGATCAGCTGCCTCCTGCACACCCCCACTGGGGATGTGCCTGCAACCAAGGTACATGCCCTTGACTGGAATCAAACCTGGGATCCTTCAGTCCCCAGGCCGACGCTCTATCCACTGAGCCAAACTGGCTAGGGCTCTAACCTAGTTTTTAATGGTTGTGTTAGTACTCCATTGTGTGACTATTGAATAATTTCACTTCATTCATTTAGGAAACATTTCTGGAGCACCTATTATGTGCCAGGTAAAAACCCTTATCATGGATCTTACAAGCGAGAGAAATAGAAAGGATATGACCAAACAAAATAGCAGCCTTCTTGTTTAAATGTCATTTGAACATTTTGAATAATTAAAATTATTCAATCATAAAAGAAAAACCTAACGCTTACAAAACATTATATATATATATATATTCTTAATGTAAAGCAGGGTCAGCAAACTACAGCCCAGATGGCAAATCCAGCCCACTGCCCGTTTTTGTATGGCTGTGAATCAAGAACAGTTTTTACAATTTTAAATGTTTGAAAAAAAATATCAAAAAGAAGAAGAATATTTTGTTACATGTGAAAGTCATATGTAATTCAAACCTGAGTTCTGAATCCTTCCAAACCTTTAAAACTTTCCCTTCTCTATCACACCTAACTTGGTACTATGTTTTTTTCTTTAGTATCACCTTGACTGAGTCTTTCCAAAGCATTCACCCCAGTTTCCATAGGAACAGCACCTTACTTTGACATTCATATATAATTGATCTAGTACGGTGTTGCATTACATAATTACAATAACAATACCACTGGCATTAACAGGGAATCATTAATGTGAGCAGACGTGTGGTAGTTTTCCAGTGGAAGGAAGAAGGGTATTAAGTTATTCACATGTTGGTTAAATGGAGATTGGTTACTAGAGCTTCTACTGTTTTAATACAAAAAGTGAATTACTGTCCTGGCCGATTGCTTAGTGGTTAGAGCATAGGCCCAAGGACCAAAGGGTTTCAGGGTTGATTCTGGTCTAGGGCACATACCTTGGTTGTGGGTTCAATCCCTGGCCTGGTTGCAGCACATGAGAGAGCCAAAAATCAATGTGCCTCTCTCACATGGATGTTTTTCTTTCCCTCTCTCTCTCGCTCTCGCTCTCTCTCTCTCCTTCTCTTTCCACCTTCTTCCTCCCTTCCACTCTATCTGAAAATCAATGGAAAAAAATATCCTCGAGTGAGAATTTTTTTTTTTTAAAGTGAATTGCCATATTGATGTGCTGCCAAGCGAGAAATATGAACACACTGAACAATCTGAGGGATCAAGGAAGGTTCCCTGAGATAGGCAGGGACAGTTACTGGTGGGCATTTTGATTGATTCCAGTTTCCCATTATTATAATCAGCACTAGAGGCCCAGTGCACAAAATTCGTGCACTGGTATGGTCCCTAAGGACTGCTGGCTGCCGGCGGGGCCTCCCTCCTTTCCCCAGGCCGGCCCTGCCCCCTGGTTAAACTCACGGAGGAACTCCTGGTCGAGGGGACAATTTGCACACTATGCTTTTATTATATAGGATGGTGATGGGCATTCTTGAGGCGGCATCCCTGCACACTTGCTAGATTATTTCCTTCAGATAAGTTTCCGTGCACAGCGCTCACCTTTGTTACAGATAGACTCTTGAGAAAGAATATCAGGGAGATTGGAGGGGAGAGACCTGGAGAGAGGAGCGTTTAGCAATCAGTTGAAAACAGCCTCACAGACAAGATGAACTGAGGTCCTGAGCTGTGAACTGCAAAGCCTGCCGTCTTAAAAGGCATTTACTACAAGCTTTTCTCCTACAATCCAAACACTGGCACAGTTTCATGGGAGGAACTCTCATTGTTGAGGAGACAATGGGGTAATTATTTTCAAACCGCGGTGACATAATCCCGGGCTCAGGCTGTCAGTTCCCATTATGACTGTGTAATGGACCTGTTTGAAGCTACTGCTGTATTCTGAGCCTCCGGGCAGGAGGATGTAGCTGGGAAGTGCTCCCAGGTTGCTCAAGGCATCAGCGAAACGGCAGCTCTCTCCCAGCTCAGGGTCCAGGGGTGCCAACAGCACACCAGCCATTACCCCGTCTTGTCCCTGTGTCACGAGGAAGCCTTCTTCTTAGCTGTGCAGCCTTCAGCACACCAAGCAGAAAGACCTGCCGCGGATCTTTGACATCATCGTCAGAAATAGTGTTGTGCCCCGTCTTCTGAGGCAGGACGGGTGTCAGATCTTCCTGAAAAGATGTGGCCCTGCCGGCGAATCCTGAACAGCTACCATAACACTTTCACTCCTTGCTCTTGTTTTCTTAAAATTTCAAAGCCCAGGAGACTGCTCTGCCTTTTCCTGCTTCGTGCTGACTGTGCACTTGGCAGATGCTGTCTTCTCTTGATCGTCACTGTGGGAGACCACCAACCGCCCCCCCCGCAAAGTTATCGAATCCCCGGAACCTGTGAGTGCTGCCGTCTTCGGAAAAGGGTCTTTGCAGAGATGATTGAGTTACGTGTGTGGATGACATTGCTTGTGTTATCTGGTTGTGCTTCTACTTCTACGAGGAGGGCAGAGGGCGATTTGGGACAGAAGAGAAGACACAGAAGAGGCCACGATTTGGGACAGAAGAGAAGACACAGAAGAGGCCACGGCTGTGTGAAGACCAAAGCAGAGACATTGGAGTGATGCGGCCACAAGCCACGGAACCTGGAGCCACCAGAAGCTGGAAGAGGCGAGGAACAGGTGCTCCCCCTGACCCCCACAGCCTCAGGCCTTGCAGTCACCTGACTTTGAACTTCCGACCTCCGGGACTGTGAGAGAGTAAAGTTCTGTTGCTTTAAACCATGCATTTGTGGTGAATTGTTATGACATCCACAGGAATCAAATGCGCTGACTTTCGATCACAACATCCTTTAGAGCAGTGGTTCTCAACCTTCCTAATGCCACGACCCTTTAATACAGTTCCTCATGTTGTGGTGACCCCCAACCATAAAATTATTTTCGTTGCTACTTCATAACTGTAATTTTGCTACTGTTAGGAATCCTAATGTAAATATCTGATATGCAGGATATATTTTCATTGTTACAAATTGAACATAAAGCATAATGATTAATCACAAAAACAATATGTAATTATATATGTGTTTTCTGACGGTCTTAGGCAACCCCTGTGAATGGGTCATTCGACCCCCAAAGGGGTCGCGACCCACAGGTTGAGAGCCGCTGCTCTAGACCTTAACGAAGGGCTTCTTCCTTCTCAGACCCCTACTGGGGTGCTCTCCTCTGATAGCTGTCAGTCACCTCGGGAACAGTTTTAACAGGGATTAAAACCAGTGAATTCAAACCTTTGGGTGGAGCTGAGGCAACTATGCATTTTCAAAACTCCACTGGTGACTGTGACTTTAACCGAAAACCATTGTCACAGGCCCCTGGCTCTCGCATGGTGTCTGTGATAGGTCCTGGTCCATCACCCCATCTGGTAGCCGAGAGACTGTGTGTTTGTCGTATTTCCTCTACTTTTCTAGAAGTTCTGTAGGCCCATTCTGCTCAAATGTTATTAAACACAAATGGCTAGGTCCACCTGCAGCATTTGTCATTTAGTCAGTCAAGGGTGGGGCCTGAGAATTTGCATTCTAAACAAGTGCAGGTGATGCTGCGGACTCCAGTCTGAACAAGCCAAATTGGGGCTTGCCCTGGGCCTTGTGGCTCAGTTGGTTGGACCATCAGTCCTTGCTGAAAGTTCTCAGTGGGTTCAATTCCCAGTCAGGGCACATACCCAGGTTGCAAGTTCAATCCCCAGCCAGGGTGGGTATGGGAGGCAACTGAGCAGTGTTTCTCTCTCACATTGATGTTTCTCTCTCTCTCTCTCTCTCTCTCTCTCTCTCTCTCTGTCCCTCTCCTTTCCTCTCTTTCTAAAAATTCAATAAGAAATCTCTTTTTTAAAAAGTCAATAGAGCCCTAGCTGGTTTGGCTCAGTGGATAGAGCGTCGGCCTGCAGACTGAAGGGTCTCAGGTTCGATTCCAGTCAAGGGCACATGCCCGGTTTATGGGCTTGATCCCCAGTAGGGAGCGTGCAAGAGGCAGCCAATCGATGATTCTTTCATCATTGATGTTTCTATCTCTCTCTCCCTCTCCTTTCCTCTCTGAATTCAATAAATTTTTTTAAATAAAACTTAATAATAAATCAATAGAAACATATCCTTGGGTGAGAATTAACAACAACAAAAAGATAATCCGGATTCTATTTTGCCTTCCTTGTTTCTGAACTTTTAAGAGCTTCTCACATAGCACCCTGTTCCCATTAACATTCAATAATATGAGCTGGATTAATTTGAACTGTTAAATCCTTGAGGACAAGGACCTCACCTTGTACCTTATTTATATATCTTAGCACCTCCATTAGTGCCAGGCCACAAGGGGGTGCCATTAAGGAGACATATTAAATGCTGGATGGGCCAGCAAAGTTGCATCTATAAGGATGCTAACGAATTGCTGGGTGCCAGTACATCACACCAAATGCCCAGGGATGAAGCCAAAATTGCAGAACCCACCTTAAGAGAAGTACTCCATGTGGTTCCACGAGCCATTCCCAGATAGAGGTGCCGCTTGGAAGGACCTTGTGGAGTAACGAGATGAGCAATGAAGTACTTTGTGACGGAGGGCACCACTGGTTAACCAGGAAGCTTCTGTCCTGCTGGGTTTGGGGGCAGAGCTGTATTGCTCCAAGCAATAAAAGAAAGAGTAAGGCCGGCGTGGCTCAGTGGTTGAGCATAGACCTGTGAACCAGGAGGTCACGGTTCGATTCCCACTCAGGGCTCATGCCCAGGTTGCAGGCTTGATCCCCAGTGTGGGGCGTGCAGGAGGCAGCCGATCAATGATTCTCATCATTGATGTTTCTGTCTCTCCCTCCCTTCCTCTCTGAAATCAATAAAAATATATTGAAAAGATAGAGTGTGGTGCAGAGTATGTAGCTCTCTTCATGCTACACCCCCTCCCCACAGCGTCCTCCATGCATGCTTCTACTGGGCTGTCATCCACAGATGCCTCGGGTATCCCAGTCCAAGCGAAATCATCAGCAGAGTGCACAGCTAAGCCAAGACCCCGGGCAACCTGAGCAGGCTAACATCGGTCCCCCTACAGACCTGCAGTGGGCCCGTGCCTGTTAAGAAACTGCAGTGGGAGGTGAGGAGACCTGCCGTGGGGAGATCAGTTTGTCTTGGAAAATTTGTCCACATCACAGTGGCAGTGAAGCCAAACCAGTTCCAAGGAGTGAAAAAGAACCTGCTTCTGGGTTTTGTTCATTTTCCTGCCAGGGTAGTCCGCCCTTGAGAAGCACGCCCCTCAAACATCTGCCACCCCTCGCTCTTGCAAGCTCGTTAATGGCATTTTCCCAGAGACCCAGAAATAGCAAATTCCATTAAAAGGCTTATCGTTAAATACAATGCAGGTCTTTATGCGGGAAGGATGGCCTCTGAATTAAAAGTCCATTAGAGCCGTGGGCTGGGAAAATGGGTCAGCTTTCGTCTAAAGGAGAGATTAATACAGCGGGAAGAGCCAGCGACACTGCGGCCATTCATCTCGCAACGCTTTCCTCCTCGGGCTGCCAGAGTGCGGCCGTCCAGACTTGCTATTCCTGTCCCCGGCCCTGGAGCAGGGCCCGTTTGTCCTGAGGAAGCCTATCAAGTTGTCCGGCGACAGCCTCAGTAAACATAAGGGAGGAGATTAGAGCTGAGTCTAGAGTTGTGTTTGCTCTGTATCAAATGGCCAAAGCCCATGGACACCCATTGCTGGAGTGGAGCTGGGCCTGGGGTCAGCTTACCCGGAGTCTCCCAGACTGTGCCGGGGAGCAGCTGCTTAAACATAACTGGGGTCCTGTTAAGAAGGAAGAAGGAAGGCCCGGCCGGCATGGGTCAGGGGTTGAGCATCGACCTATGAACCAGGAGGTCACGGTTCGATTTCTGGTCAGGGCACAAGCCCAGGTTGTGGGCTCAATCTCCAGTGTGGGGTGTGCAGGAGGCAGCCAATCAATGATTCTCTCTCATCATTGAGGTATGTTTCTCTCTCTCTCTCTCTCTCTCTCTCTCTCTCTCTCTCTCTCCCTTTCTCTCTGAAATCAATCAAAAAAAATTTTTTTAAAGGGAAGGAAGAGAGTTGTTGGGGTAGTTGTGGGAGACAGAATAACAAACAGAATGTCCACAACCTCATCTGCTTTCTTGGGTATGAATCTGTTCCCAATGCCATCTGCTGCTGACTATGATGGAAGAATCCAAAAGTACATGTTTTTAAATGCGGGAAAAAAAGTATTTGTGCACACACCAACAAAGGAAGGCAGTCTTCTGTCCAATGGAGACGATTGAGATTCTTAAGTGGCTGATTTGGGACCTACTACAAGGGGAAGACTTGCTTTGCTGCCTTCAGGTGTGGGGTCTATTCACCTAGCACTTCCGCAGGCTTTTCCAATGGGGCTTCCTCCTCCCAGGCCTGCTGTTCTAATTCCTTATGACATACATGCTGGCGTTGCAGGTAGTTTATTTCATTCTTCTGTTCATCCAGGTACTTGGTTGGCAGAAGCTATGGTCTTCAGGTCTAGCAGGAGCTTGCTTAGCTGGTTCTTCAACTCCAGGGCAGACTCTAGAGCAGCGGTTCTCAACCTGTGGGTCTCGACCCCTTTGGGGGTCGAACAACCCTTTCACAGGGGTCGCCTAAGACCATCGGAAAACACATATATAATTACATATTGTTTTTGTGATTAATCACTATGCTTTAATTATGTTCAGGGTGCATAAACACACAGGGCTTCCATCAGGCTCCACTGATCCCGAGGCGGGAGGCCTCTTGGCTCCGATCCCAAGGCGGGAGGCCTCTCGGCTCCGCTGATCCCGGCCTGGCTTCCTGCGCCATCTTGGCTGACAGTTAATTTGCATATACTCACTGATTAGCCAATGAAAAGGGTAGCGGTCGTACGCCAATTACCATGTTTCTCTTTTATTAGTATAGATGATTGAATGAAAGGGGAATGCGTGCATACGGAGAGATATACAGTGGGGCCTTGACTTAATGAGTGTCCCGACTAACGAGTTTTTCGAGATATGAGCCGTCTCTTGGCCGATTTTTTGCTTTGAGTTGCGAGCTAAAATTCAGGTTACGAGCCAGCTTCAGATACCCCACTGCTAGTTGGCGCAGCGAACATCACAGTGAACACCACAACATCAGCCCAGCATCACGTGTCTCACTCGTTCACTTTTGATTTGACATAGGAGTAATTTGAGTTACGAGCTCCGTCACGGAATGAATTAAACTCGTAAGTCAAGGCCCCACTGTATTTCACTGCCTACAAGCAATTTCTCCTTAAAAGAAATTGGTGGTGAGTATATATTTTTTAAGAAAAACCATCAGTTGGCTGTTGGTCCTCACTAGCTGCAAAACTGCAGGGCAGGGGCAGCGTGGTTTCACAGCCGGCTGTGCATGCGGAGTCAACAGTGGGGCCCGCTGTGTTGGAAAAGAAACACATGATATAAAACGTAGGTCCCCTCGAGGTTCGGTGTTACAAAGCGCCGGGGGCCTGGAGGTTGTCTCCTGGTGACAGTAATCTTTTGTAACAATTAAATAAGGATCATCCTGAAACCACTCCCTCACCTCCCCCAGGCAGCTTCCTGCCGCCACTCCTCCTGTCTGTCTGGTG